ATTAAGATAACAGATTTACAACTGTGTAACTGAGATCAGAATATGGTGCTGACTCTCTCATACATAAATTTCCATAGTTGCTCCTGAATTTCTCTTTTTGCTCAGCCACCTCTCTGTGCATTAATCATTCAACATTTAAATCAGCCATCCATTTGCTTCTTTTTGCTTTGTCAATGAAAATTGTTCAGCATTAATTATAAAACTCATTCTCTACGGAGGTTTTCTTGGCTTTTTTTCACCAGTGGGTGGAAGTGTCAATTTACAGTCATCTTGTTCTGTCTTCAAAAATACCCTGTGTACCAGCTACATGGCAGAACACATTCTCTGTGTGAGAGCGCCTGTGAATGTGTGTGCGAGCTTGTGAATGTGTGAGCATATGCAAGATTGGGAATGCATGTGCATACATGTGCATATGTAGAAAAGATGTGGCGATCGTGTTTGAATTAGAAAGACTAAATGCTTCTCAGGCTTTATTTTACAGTTTTAATTTTAACCACTTTCTGAATCTGAAGATTTTCATCCTAGCAATACACATGATTTCAGGTTACAAAGCAAAGAGTTTATGGCAACTGCAAATGTGTTCTAAATTGAGTATCATTGGCAACAACAATACAATACAGATCTAATTTTACATAGCGGTAAAACCTCTCCAGATTTGCTTTCATATTTTACAATCAGAAGGATTGGGCATTGCTGGTGCAGCACCCTGTACAATCCTGCAGTACAAAACCAATGTGAGTACCGCAGTGCACATGGTAAGACAATAAACCAGTATGCTGTAGCCAACAGCACATCACAAAGCCGTAAAACACAAAGGCTGGAGGATTTGGTTCAAATGGGAAATATTTCAGTGTGTGGACTGAACACTGTAAAGGCAGAGGCTGACTGAACTTGTCTTTGCAGGTATGATTTTCACAACTGTGAATGTTTTACTCTGTTACTACAAAGCAGAAACTACACCAGCGCGTAAATGCTTTCCAATCTTTTCATTATACTGGGATGCTGCAACCTATATTTAACCCAAGGGGAGGGATGTGCTCAAGAAACCATTCTTTCCTTGGCAGTCATTTATCAGTTATATAGAAATGTTAGACCACTTTAGCTGCCAACCAGGGATTATAGAAAGGGGGGAAAAAAGGCAACCAGGAGGAAGATGTACTTCTCTGCAAAAACGTAGTATTAATGTATTATGAACCAATGTAAGATCTGAGTCAAGAAACTGAAGTAATCTCCAAGGCGACAACAAACAGACGAACAATGCAAATGCTCTTCTTCTTCTGGGATTCTGGTATAAGTTTGTCCTGTCCTAGTACACTTACGGTGTCAACCCCTTCCTGGGGGCCTTGCTTTGTGGGAAGCAATGGTTCAGGGAGCAGGGTATGCGATGTGCCTCCTCTGTCTAGGCTGCTGGCCGCTGAAATACAGTGCCTGTTCTGTATGCTCTGTTGAGATGGACTCGCAGTTTCAGTTCAGTTTCACGGAATTGCTGCCCACCACGAAACCCTGCGTTGCAACAGGCAGTAATTGCCTCAGTTGCAGAAAACACCCAAAGTAAAAGGCTCAGAAAAGAGATCAAGAATGGAATCAATTCTGAACACTGAAGTGGGGAGGAAGGGGAAGCTGTTAAGAGGAGGAAGTTAGTATTACCCAAGCTATATGCATTCTGTGAAAAACAAGAAACCTTCAATCTCCAAGATTTAAGTGCTTTTCAGGCAGTGCTTTTCAATCCTACTGAAAACACTGGAAAATAGAAAGTGTCCTTTACTCTATGATGGAATGAAAATAAGTAGAAATATCAGTATTTAGTCAAATAACAGAGCATCTCTCTGATCTAACAGAAGTTGCGCTTCAGCTAAACACTCAAGAGAGTGAGCTGGGAATACAGCCCAGGGTCTGAGTTTATTTATTTTGTACAAACCTCTACATGTGCTGTTCTGAAGGAAAGAAGGTGAGTTTGATTCTCATTTACATCCAAACCGCTTTGTACACCTGGGAGCAAAAAAGGGAGATGAAAGTCAAGTCTGCATTAGGAAGCATTCTCCAGATTAGGTAACCTGCAAAGGCACTACAGACGTAGTCAGAGCTTACTCAAGCAAGTTGTACATCTGCGGTATCAGGAGAAGGTTCTCTAGTGAGGAGACTAAAGAAGCTGTGGCACCAGCTCTCCCGCGACTCTCCAGGCAGAGCACAGGCTTGAGTCACACCATACAAACATGCTTTCCAGCCCTGCTTACCTTCCCCTCCTTGCCTGTATCTTCTGACAGAGAGTAACATTTTCACCAGCTTGTTTCTCAAGAAAACTCCCCTATTCTAAGAAAAGCATGGGTTTGCCATTATAAACACATCAACCCTAGAAGTTCTTGCTAGCAAAGCTAAGCTGGTCAGGTATCATTTGCTATCATACTCATGTCAGCAGGTCTATGACAAACCTGCCCTTAGATGGATAGAAAGGTATTTTGTGCCAAATTCTAGTTTACATCCATAACTCTTTACAGTTCTTGCCAGCCTGAAGGAACCTTGAAAGGAGCATATACCATACCTGTTTTGACCCTGCTTGCACTTCATACTAGTGTGAATGAGAATTTGGAACTGTGAGTCCATATGTGCCTCCAAATTGCCTCTGATTTTTCTGCGTGCTTATTTTAGTAGTATTTGTCACCCATGTGTATGCAAATAAAGCTTGCAGAGGAGTTCTGAGTAATAGGGAGAAAACAGCCTCCCACTGTTTATTAGACTACAGATGATGCCACAGTAAAAAATGCTGTTGGTAATTTTAGTTCCCTTTCTCAGGGACACTTCCTGCCCTTCCACATTGTTATGAAAACTGCTGGTGACAACGCACCCAGTCCTAGCACTGGGAGCTCCACAAAGAGACCTGTACTGAAACAGGCTTGAGCCTGACTGTTCCTTTTTCTGCTCAATTTCCAGGTCCAGGACTTCCCTCTCTTCCAGATCAGAGGTGGAACACATGACACGGCAGAACAAAAGGTTTTCTGTTCCTTGCCTGTGGTCTCATAACTTCATTCACAAGAACTGTCAGTCCAATTCCTTTCATAGCCATGAAATTACCTGAAAAAAATTTTAATGCAGTTAGATTTTAGTACCGTATTTCTACACTTTCCATCTTAGGTTTCATGTCTGTTAAACCATCTTACGCTTCGAAGGCCACAGTTCCTTCTGAGTGATTCTGTCCTTTTTCCACTTGGCAAGTGTCATATTTTTCTGTGATTTTCTCATGGCATTTAAAGCAACAGGATCCCTTTTATTTACTTATCTCCCTGGGTATTCATATCATTGCTCATTTCTCAAGACAAATGAACAGCTCCAGGGTGACTGCACCTGCAAAATCACCCAAAGCAGCCTACCTACTTTATCTGGCCTCCAAAACTGGTGACAAACTTTGCTTTTCCTGAAGCGAAAATTCTGAGTGATCCACATATAAAGATTCAAGTTTTTCAGCCACTGTATATATTAAGCATATACTACATTTCAATGAAATAATTTGCACATGTGCAACCTACATTTATGCATGCAAATCAGGCAATTAGGTACAAAATTACCTGATTTGCATACATAATGTTAGAACTGAGCAAGTAATATGCAACAAAACCATATTCTATTAATATTATTTTCTTCTGTTCTGAAATTAGCTGCAACTGGATTAGGAAATACTCAAGTTTTCATCACTTAAAATGATTAGTCTCTTTGGTGAACATTTCTAGGTCTGCTGATGTGCTGGCTAATTACATATATCAAATGATACCGATTTTCTACCGTGCTTGGTAACTTCCCATGAATTTTACAATAAAATGTGCAATTCCACTTTTTTCACATTTAGAATTTGACTTAAAATTTATCTGCACAAATAAATCTCAAGTGCATAAATAATAAAGAATCGCAACAGAGATGCCCCCCCATTTGCATTTGAATTCAAATATTCACTGATTATTTTTTTTTGCTGTTTGTACAATCCAGTTTGCTTTTCTGTGCATATAAATATGGAGCTGCTGTATAAGCAGCTGCGTATGTAGGAAAAGAAGCCAGTGAAGACAGACTCTGTGGAGTCTGGAGGGTATTTCCTACAGGACTGCAGTTGTAAGCAGACAGGTCACACCTCACAGATAATGGAACAAGCAGCTTTCCCTCTGCATAGCAATGCCAGAGGGGACTGCCTTACTGGAAGGTGAGTGCCTATGCTGGGAGGGCTCTGCTGACACCCTTGACCCTGACCTCTCCCCTCCCGTGGCTCTCTCTGCCTCCCGCTGCTCTGCACATGTACTAACACAATTCCCTTTGCTTCATTCTGTCTTGCTCAGAAGGCAAACTCCTCAGGCACAGACTTATCCTGTCTACAAAGCCTTATGCATACTAAGGCGCTTTAGCTATAAAATAAATAAACAATAACTGCACTTCTGCTGTGGTGCAGAGACATTTTTGCATGTCTCTGTTCTCATGGGCTTATCTCAAACCCCTTTAAGTGGTTCATTGTATTTTTTAAGACAGGGTCACCAATTCTCTTTCAGATACAGGCACATCGTTGGTGTCTATAATGGCAATACAAAGCTTCACACAGGATTCAGTATTTCATTCCTTATGCATCCTGGCATTTGCTTTCTGATCAAAGATGTCCATTTTACAGAGGTGAGCTTCCAGTTACTTATCAAGTGGCAATCAGGTCTTCCTCAAATATTCTGATACCTTTAATTGAAAGCTAGGCAAAATGCTGAGGAAAATGTTTTCCTCCCAGTGTGCACAGCTATGTATGCCATAGATTTCCCCTGCTGCTATCTGGCTCATTCACCTATCACCAGTGTGCCAAGTGCTACTGGTTTGATTATTTTATGCTTAAACAGTATTTTCAAACTTTTCAACATCCACTCTTGTTTCTTCTCCTTAATATTCAAATTGTAAGCATTTCTAAAAGACCACCTCTTTGTCTTCTGAAAAATATGTTGCACATCTTTGGCTCATACAAGACAATAACAACAAAGACCATCAAGATATTTGACAAGATCCACATTTAAGAGCCATCATCTTGTGGCAACTTTGCTGTTGATGATCTGCTGCCTCTTATTTCAGGAACTTCTCACTGTTTCTTACTCATGGATGAATCAGTAGCAGGGACTCTTCACCTCACAACCTACTGGTCAAATACCAATTTTATTTCCAGTGCCTCTGCTGCTTTGCAAAGTTTTTCTGCTCATAACTGTAACCATTTGGTTCTTGTTTGCAGGTCCATTCTAACAGCTTCAGAATATCTCCCTTTTAAACCAGAAAATTCTGCATGTCTCCCTCTTTTTCACCCCTGCCTGCTGAAGGATAGAGCTTGTCTAGTTTTCCTTTATTGCCTTTGCCTCTGGCACTTGTTCTTCCTTCATCCTCTATTTCAGGCTAAGGGTCTCCAGATCTCCTTGACATATGTCCCAAAAGGGGTACATTTCCATTTCTTGATCTTCCCTGACAGCAACCATTCCTTACCACACTCAGCAATTTCATTTCTATAAGGAAATAAATACAGTAGCAAGTCAGCACCACCTTTGTAAGTTCAAGCATTTGTAAGAGGCACTGAAAGTCATGAAGGCCAAGAATGTAAGTCTATCTGTAAGTCACATGTATTTCAAGCCATGGGGCTAAAACCCAGCAGTAGTTCTTGTGTCCCAAGTAAGGTGTACTTCATTCTAAACCCAACATCTATCACACTTCCAAATAAACAACGATACTCATAAATGACTCAAGGCCTTTCATCATTTGTGTTTGTTACACATGCCTAATTTAACCTCACAAATTCCTGAAGAGGAAAAAAAGCAGTTTGTAGGAGATGCTGTGCTTATACCATATACAAATCCTCTATGTATTTGCAAACAAACTGCTGAGTGTAACCTACCTCTCTAAGAACCCGTGGATCTGGAGCAAACCAGCTCTCTAAGGTTATTGAACCTAGCAGGGAAGGAATCAGAGGAATTATGCAAGGAATTAGTGGCAGGAGCAAATTAAATAGGTGAGTTTGTGTGATTTGCCTTGTGGTGGCAAACAGCCCCCTCAAGCTATATGCTCAAAGGGGGACAAACTGCTGACTGAACAGATTTGGGACCCTAAAACAGAATAATCTTTGGGGAAAGTAAGCCAGCTTGTGCACCATGAAGCATGTTGGCAGGCAAATGGACTGTATCACTAAGAGAAAACTAAAGCATCTACATAGAAGATAATGGCCAAACCAATAGGTAGATACAGCTCAATGGATTCTTCTGTTGTGAGGGAGAAAGATGGGAACCTCTATCTGCAGCTGAAAATCCAGCAGCAGACCAGGCACTCCTCCTGCAGAGTCAACAAAAGCAACAGGAAGTGCAGCTTGCACCTCAGCAGGAGAGATTGCTGACATGGGGTCTGGGTAGTACTGCTGGACTTGCAAAAGGTAGTTTGGGCTGGCTTAGCTCTGTGCTGATGGACCTAAAAGATTACCTTCAAATGCCCATCTGCATCTCTGAATGCCTAGTGCTGCTGGTGTGGAGGGTTAAAATTGAGTAGCCACAGAGAACCTCCTCCAATAGAGAGGGGCACGCAGCAAACAGTGTTGAGCTATTTGGCTCTTGTTCTGGCCAGGCTGAGACGGGCTCCAGAGGCATGCTGTCATTCACTGCATCTGGCTTACATTCATGGGGAATGTGCTCAGTTACAGCAGTGAAGCAGCCAGGGAACATCACTACCTGTATGTTCAGAGATGAGAATGGTGGCCTTGGAATGACATCCGCAGGGTCTGCTGCTAGAGCTTAAACCTACTGCCACTCTGGGCACTCCTCTGCAAGTAACATGATTGAGGAAACAGAGATGGAGGGAATGAATTCATGAGACAGACTAGAGCATTCTTCTACAGAAGGCAAGGAAGACTTGGAACTTGCCAAAAAGCTTTAGAAGAATTATTAGTCCTATATCAGCTTACAGAAGGTTCCCCTGAGAGTAGAGAACTCCAGTACCAAGCAGCTGGTATGCAAACTTGCACATACGAAGGGACTGTTCTCTGTACATGTAGAAATGTACACATGTAGAATCTCTACACATGTAGAAATGTGCCCAGCATATACAGATATGTCATGTGCCATTCGAGCCATGGGTGGAAGTCTCTGCTCAACACAGCAGCTTCCTGCATGAGGCAGCAAGAGAAAGTCTTGAGTAGCGAGTGAGGGGTAAAATGTTGAATTGAGACCACATGGTCTGAAATTGTGTGGGTACTCCACTGCTGCCCAAATGAAAAACCAAGGGAAGTCTGGCGACTGCATTGCCACGCTTCCTTAGGGAACAACAGCCAGAAAGGCTTAAGAAGCTTAGTAAAAAGAGCTACCCAGGCCCATACATCTTTAAGTATCAAGGAAAGCTGGTGTATCAGTATAAAGACTTGACAACCCTGAAACAGAACATCATTGAGAAGTCTGTGTGGTAATGAAATAGGTCCCCATCAAACTAGAACTAGTCTGGACAAGACCCTGAGGTTACCAGTGTGTTGCTGCTGAGGACTAATCCCTTAAATGCTTGCAGCAAGTAATGGGCAGCACTGGGAAGGAACCGGGTGACTACAGAGAGGAGGAAACTCTGTAGATCAGGTGACAGCCTACAGTTCCCACAGACTTGGACTGAGACAGAAGCATAAATGGCCTATGTTGAGCAGAGAAATAATCTTGCTCTTGTCTGGTCCCTTATTTCTGAGGTTTGAAGAACTCATACTAGCTTTAAGCGTTTGCCATGTTTTCTGGTATGGAAGACAGACCTGACAGCTACACAACTGCTGCGCAAATCTGAATAAGGAAGAATAAAACTGTGTTTAAAGGCTCTATGCTGGAAGGTTCTTTTTTTCTTTAAAATATTAAAAAACAAATCTTTAACTTTATGTAACTCTTTGTTTGCACCAGCAGGAAGGAAATGTGGGGTGTTTAAAAGTAACTTTAACCTGATGTTGTTTTCAACAGAGGTGCTATTAACAACTGTTACTGTTATACAGTCCTATAGAGTTACGTTGTAATTGATTTCCATAGCAACATGATCATGTCATATATTCTGGATTACAGCTCAGAGGGAGAGGGAATGGGAAAAGCATGGAATGAAGACTGCAGAGCAAAACCTGTCCTGATTATTACTTGAATCTTGAATGTTCTTATTAGTCCAATTTGTTTAAACAGTGTTTATTTGTAGGCAATGTGGAGGATCCAGCCAGGCTGCACCTGCCTCCCCAGGCGTGCTCCAACACAGCCTGGGATTGCACATCTTCAAGGAAGAGCAGGGTGGGGTTCCTCCAAATGACAGAACCTTCTGCAAGGAAGAAGTTTCAAGTTGTGACTTGCAAAATACGCACAACACACTGCTGTAAAAATCCAGCCATCAGAACAAGGAGGATCTAGGCAGGGACTGCAGCTAATCATGCAAAAAGCTGAAAGGAACTGCTCTTTGTACCAAGCAGTGGAGTTCCCACGAAATGCTGTTGTCTCTTCTAAGCATGAGGAAAGACAGGTACACAAGAGCATGGGAATTTCTGCATCATTTCCTGGTATTTAACTGGCACACAAGCCACTAGACATCCTATCAAGGATGCTGACTAATGAATCTCTCTTAGGCTACAGCTCCTTGTTAGCACAATGTGACTACATGTCCACAGATGACACAACTTACATTACCCTGATGGCTGCACCTCTTGCTGCCTCACCTCCAGCAGAAATGATGCAATGAGTACAGCTGAATGAGTGCAGTTGGATGAACAGGAGAACTGACTGCAGTGAGGGGTGTGTGGAGGACAGAGAGCACCACTCAAACCCACACCAAACGTTTGCCAAAAATGAGTCTGTATTCTTAACAAGGTACAGCTCTTGAAAGGCTGCATCCTTTTGATAAGATACGTGGCATAATTTTTCACTGAAGGAGGTGGGATAAAATAGATGCACCAACTGGCCTTTCTTATCAGTGCAGTCTGAGTTCTTCAGGGAGGAATTATCTTTACATGTAACAGGGAGTCAAGCCCATCAACACCACTGAGCAAGTAATAAAAAATACTCCCAAGCTTACTGTTGCACGAAGATGAGAGCTCTTTCAGCCGTTTTAATCCTAGATGTTTTGTACTTTCTCTTTTTATTTTACAGAAATAAGTTACAGACACCGAGGAAGAGACTTCTAAGAGAAAAATGTATAGCATATCAAGCTAGATCAAATAAGCTTGCAACATCTTCAAGTCAGTGGTCTGCAGCAGACCAGATATTCAGGCTTTCCACTCCCTCCCTAGTTCTCCCCCTAGCTCCAACACAATTCGCATCCACAAAAGCTCGTTGTCCTTATCCCAACCATGTGCCAGCCTGGACATGTTCACATGAAACCCCGGGCTACGCTGTGATCTTGTTTCTTGTTAGTTACCATGATGCATGCAGTGAAGAGTAAGATTGCCTCACATAGGTCCAGAATATAGCAGTTCAAAGCAACCCCCTCCTGTCTTCGATTTGGCTGTGCTGTGCTCATTCTCCATCATAGCCAAAGGGGAGCTTCTACCTCTAACACACAGGTATGCACTCTCCTTCACCCCAGCCCTTGGTACGTTGCATCAGTAAGAACAGCAACAGCCTCTAGCCTTGGAGCTATCTCAGGGAAGGACACAGGCTACAGGCAAATAACCTGGCACTGAGCACTGCTGTTCCCGAACACCTGCGTTGCATAAGTGCTTTTGAGTCCAGCTGTACAGAGTCACTGTGACAAAACGCTTTTATCCCAGAGGAAGGGAGGCAAGCAGTTTGGCACTAACCAAAGGCCATGGTCTCCCTCATTCTGATAGGCGTTTGCCATGTGACCTTGGCTAAAACACTTGAGATTACCCATCTGGAAAACAGATAAAGTAACGTAGAAACTTCACCCTTTCCTGGGCGCAGCCCTCGATTATGGCTAGCAAAGTCCCAGCCAGCTGTACATAAAAAGCACTTACTTATGGAAGGACAAAATGCTATTTTGGCTTCCAGACAGACTTGGGGCAGCCCTGCTCCCGGGACCAGCTCCCTACCCCTCGCTAGCCGTCAGAGGCCCAGAGGCAGGAACACGCTGTTAAATCCGTGATTTGCCTGGGGAGCGAGCGGAGGCTTGCAGCAGCATGGCTGCTTTCTCTGCACATTCCTCTGGTGACGCTGCTTCTTACCCAGCATGCAGATAACCCTGAGTCAAGGCTTTGGTATGAGCGGCGCTGCCAGGAGCTGCGTGCTCGGAATAGAGGGTTACAGTTTAAACCGAGGTGAAGCGCCGTCCCCAGCCAGCTGCACCCTGACTGCCCGCCCCCGGGCTGGAGCCAGCCACCCCTTCACCTACTTGCAGAAAAGGAGCTTTCCAGTCACTCCCCTCCACCCCACCACTCACCCAGGGATCATTCCCATTGAGAAGCTCTCAGACTAATAGTAATCCCGACGAATTTAGCTGCTGCTAATAAATCCCACCCCTCTGCCCCTCCCAACCTGCCTCCATGCAAATCCATTTGTAGGTTACTTGAACAATAGCGGAGCTGTAATCAGCCCTCCCCTCTGGCAGCCTGCAGGGAGGGAGGAGGATGATGACAGTGGGGAATTCTGCTCGGCTCCTTGAAGCTGCACAGGCATGTTTCATGTCCCCATTCCCCTCCCCTGCGCAGAGGCGGGCGGGCAGGCAGGCAGGGAAGGGATCACATGGCCGTCTAGGCCGGGCCCAGGCTAGCGGCAATTATATGCTATGGCGGCCCTGAGCCACCTCCCCGGCCCGGCCTGGTTCAGTTCGGTTAAGTTCAGTTCAGCCAGCTTCGGTTCGCCGCCTCCCACCCAGTCCCTGCCTGAGCTGCCACGCCGGAGCCGTGCCAAGCAGCTCCGTGCTGTGGTGGGGTTGCCAGGTTTACAGAGCACTGAACAAAGCAAAGGGCCTTCACGCTAGCCAAGAAATAGAGAAGACCCCAGTGCAGCAGGCTGGGGGAGGCGGCAGCCCTGGCACACCCAGTGCTGCTGTGCCAGGTGGCGAGAAAGAGGCAGCTCCCTATTCCAGCGCTTTGGGGATAAGGGAACACACAGTCTTCTCGGTGTTAAAACTCATCGGTGTCGGAAAGGGGGTGTTTTCCTGAAGATATGTTGCCATCCTACAACAAGCAGCTTACATCTCTGAGATTTCTTTGCAAAGGGTCATAAAAGCAGCGAGTGCATATGGCCGCGCAGAGCTACGGTGGATTGGGGGGGGGAGGGAGGGAGAGCTGTGAGCGGCTGCCAAATCAGCTGAAACCTAAGAAGCTTGACCTTCCTCACCTCCACCCTTGCTCCCACCGCCTCCAAACAACCTTACAAGGGCGCATCGGGAAGGGCCGGCGCACAGCAGCGACGGGAGGGTGCTCGCAGCCCTGCAGCACGCAGGGCCGGGCAGCCGGCAGGGCTGCGGGCTGGGTGGTAGTGAAGGAGAAGGGATACACTTCAGGGCAACTGCAGCCGCTGTCAGCAGCGCGCACTGATACCAGCGTGGCTGGCTCATTCCGTCAAGCCAAGCACAGTAGTAAGGCACTGCAATCTTGAACCTACCTAGCCGCAAGTGGCTCAGCCAGTCCAACCAGTCAGACACCGTACTGGCCGGCCAGACTAGTGACGAGCATTCCCCCCCCCCTCCCATTCACATGTCTAACTGCGCCCTTGTGCTTTTCACTCTAGTTCCCTGAATGGCTGAAAGAGTGGGTTTGCTGTCAGAAACTTGCAATGACACGTAATCTTCCGTGTTTGTTCTCTCAGTAGGCGATCCCATTCCTAGGGAGAAGAGCTGGGCTCCTGCAGAGCCTCCCAGTCAGAGCCAGCAGCATGGGGTTGGGCTGCCCTGTGGCAAACACACAGAGAGGGAGATGTTCGGCTGGCTCGTCGGAGAAGCCCAGTAGTAGCCTCGCTCAGTACATAGACCTAATTCTTCTTTTAAGACATACAGCAGAGAAGAAAACTTGTTTGTAGTTCTTTTTGTATCATCCCATCAGTATAGTGTTCCCCTTCCCAGTCTGCATTACAGGTTTTAAGGCAGGGGCTGAAACAACACAAGCTCAGTGCATGGTTTTCAGACGCTTGGAAAACAAACCCGGTGGCACCTATTTCTCTACAGGGGGGTATAACTATGCCTTCTCCATCTTCCAGGGTATGGTTGTAAGGACAACTACGTAGGTATAAAGCTATGTTTTGGGTAGAAAATGCATGCTGTAATGGATTCCAATGGCGGAACGCCAAGGGGGAAGCTGTTCTGCTTCAATAATAGCCTTACAAGATTCAGCATTACAGTGACAGTTCAGTACTCTGCTGCAAATCTACAGGATGTGTCACTTTGGCAGAGAAGGAGGCTGCTAATGCACAACACGAACCAACCTACTATGAATGGAGAATGGCTGCATACAGCAAAATAGAAGAAAATGGCAAGACCTAGGGAAGAGGGAAGCTGCAGAGCTACTACTGCATAGTAAGCTGGGAACCTGAGTGTTCTGAGGAGACAAAGCCCTTTCCCTTGAGGGGAAGAAAAAACTCAGCTCCCAAGACATGTAAAGAAGCAGACAACCCTTTTTTCCAGTGACTGCTGCAGCTCTGCAAAGCTATGCTGGCAGCCAGCCTATTTGAAGAGATTGCAGTTTCAAAACAATGTTAGTCCTGACTAGTTTGGAGTTCAAATGTTAGAAGGGGGGGGGGGGAGGATATGCTCATACACACAACATTGCGAAGCAAATAAAGATTACAAGGTTTGTACTAATGACCAGTTAGCATTGGTGAGTTTCAGCTCCTGATGAAACTGTGTAGTATTTCCCCCAAACGGACACAGCATCTCCTCACTGCACAAACACTTCCATCTCCAACTCACAGAGAGCTGCCAACGCTTAAAAAACAAACATCCAGTGACACACATGTTCTAACCCATTTCTTAGAAAATAGGCTACAAGGCTATTAAAAGAAATGTCCAGAATAATCTAACTGGAAAAAAAAAAAAAAGGAAAAAAAGAATCAACCCTCCTTGGGAAAATAAACTATTTAAATACTTCCCCATAACCAGAAGGAAAGAGAGCACAACAAATGACCACCTGGACAAATAAATTCACTTACACAATTTATTGAAGCAAACACTGGGCTTTACCTTAAATAACTGGCAAATATGGGGGAGGGGAGCATTACTGTGAAACACAGCCATCAGCTGGATCTCTGCACAGCAGACCCACTCCCAGCTCCCTTTTCCTCTATTTTGAAGAAAGGTTACAGCTTGTTTGTCAGCTGTGAACATCTTCAGAAAGAGAGGAACCTATGGAGTGGGTTCAAAGCAGTACTCCCTAATACGCCCAGACTGGCTGCTTAATGAGCCAGAGTAAAGGAAAAGGTCACATGGTTACAAAAAACCTCTACACAGCAAATGCCCCGTAGCTACGGTTAACTTTAATTAACTGCATTATTACAATTCACTTCAAGCTTATTTTCCACCTATGTCTACTGCCCCTTACCTTTCCTTTGCCACTGAAAAATCAAATGGATGAGTCTCCTAAGTGGGCTTATGTTTCCAAAATTCTGACTGGTAAGAGCTTTTCAAGAATGCTCTGCAATTAAAGAAATCCAACTGGGGCTCTAACTCCAACTGCTGATGACTGATTTCAAGATTACAGGAGTAGTTCTGTTTATATAAATCAGAGTATTTGCGCTTCTGTGACATAATTAAACTTCGAAAACCCAATAGTTTTTCTCTTTTAATGGCAGTTACAATTCACACGAATGTTACTGCTCTCCTCACTGGGTTTAAAGTCCAGTGTTATCCATGTGTACAATTTTCCTCCCTGCCAGTCATGAGCTCACCACGTTAGTCTCCCCATCTCATGATTTAAAAATAAACTGCTATGTGGGAACTGCATTCTTAGAAATAATTGAGAATAGGATCAGTACAAATCTACACTCTAAAAACCATATAGGTCGTATCAGATAATTAGCTCAAAAGGCATACATTGGATCTAATAATTAACTCAAACCATCCTTTTCCTGCATTATTCCTTCCAATTCATTACATAAGAGCAATATGCTCTAAGATTTTTAAGCACCATTATATCACTTAATGGAAAGAAAAAGAATATAAAGACATTGTCTGAAATCACAGATATAGTGATGGCAAAGACGGAATCTCAAGACATAACCCACCCACCCAGTATAGCCAGAGTATGTGTACAAGAGAGCAAAGATCCATGCCACAAGGCATATAGTCTCCAGGCTTTTCCCATCTTTCCACCAGGAGTAGTGATGAAAAATGTCTCAGGAGCAAGCAGATACCAAATGTCATCCAGACTTTTAAAAAGCACCTCTCTTTACAGTTTCAGGGCTTTCGGGAGTGTAGGGATCCTTAATATTCATCAAAACTCAGCGCTCATAACCTATGACACTGTTGCATTTGGAACAGCTCTGTGTTCTGCTGGTCAAACTGCAAAGGATTTCTGCAGAGCTGCTGGTTTTGTTTCGGGTTTTCTCTCTTTCTTCCACTTGCCTCACTGGAAAGGACAAAGTTCATATTAGGTTTGTTTGCATTTTCTACCTAGTGTAAGGCCTGTGTATTTACTTTGCCTGTTGATAAACTAACAGGTATTGCACTGCTCCTCTATCTCCAAAAAATGCCAATGTCACATAAAATAGTTAATTATACAAAGAATCCCATATGATCATTGCCAAAAGGAAAGTGTTACACTTCAGTGCTTTAAGGAAGCTTCCTCATCTGAAAACACAGAACAACCCCTGACTTGTTCACCAGCTCAGTTATGGAAAGCCACTGCCTAAATGGGGTAGCTACCCATCAGCTGCAACACCAACTGCAGAAGCTGTTATTTCCCACTCCCCTTTTCTGCACTGTGCTCAACTACAGAGCTGCCTCACCAGGAGTCTATGGCTGATGTCGAGCTTTGACAAACACTACCAAAAATCAACTAAAGTTATTAACCATGTGACGCTGGGTTTGGGTTTTTTTTTTTTGTGAAAGAGGGCTTAATTTCAGTTCTGAAGCCATATTAAATTGCACAGGCAATGGATGCATCCTGTATTTCAAACAGTTTGCAGCTGGAGAGCTGGGGTGGGGGGGAGAAGGGAGGAGGAAATGAGATGCAGAAACAGTAAATAGAAAATGCTTAGTCAGCAACTGTTACTGCAACATTAAAGGTGAAATGTAAATAGGCAAAGTGCCAAGATTTAGATAAGTTTGATAACAGCATCAACATCATCATCTTACTACATATATATATGTGAAAATGTGTGTACAAGTGCCACAATTATCACGAGGAACTGCAGGCTCAGGGGCTAATGGAGACTTTTAAAGAGGCACTATGGCTCATGCATGCTGCCTGTGCTCTGAGAAAAA